CAAAATGCAACATCAGCATGCCTGGTTTTTAATGTGAAGGCAAGTATGTACGCTGACGATGCTGCATCTAACGAGGAATATGAGCAAGGATTTGAAGAAAACATCCTGACCCGAATCGTTGCATAGTAACATTTATAGTTTCATTTTTGTACCATTACACCACATACACAACATTTGCAAGAGGCCCAGAGGGATTCTGGGTCTGACGTAACCCTTATTTTTATGACCTACCATGGTAGATAGTAGCACAATGATTAAAGGCACGGATTCCCACAAGCACCCCTCAGCTGAACCGAGACTGGCCCTAAATAACCATATAAATGAATAAGATCTCTTTTGGGTAAAAATTTGGCTAAACAAAACAAGACAAACAGCACAATCTATTGATGAGTTGACTCTTGCTCCTTAAGTAGGTGCCAGATAGCTGCCACTGAACTCTTAAAAGCTTAATCCATCAGACAGCATGATTAGAATTTTAGTAGGGACAAATTTAGATGTTAGGCTGTGAAAATGTTTCTGGACCTTTGTTTTAAATTGCGCTTTAAAATCAAGTAATGGTGACTTGCATGGTCAATTTTTGATTGCAGCATGAATGTATAAACATCTATATCAAATTTATGGAATGATATTGTAGTAGATTTCTGAGCAGACATAATGAATTTATAAACTTCTGGAAGTGAGTCAAATTACCTGCAGAGTACTGCAATTTTTAAAAATGATGACACAACACGATTCAAGGAGGCGATGTGCGGAAAAAAGGGGGGCTTGTCCCCCCATAGCAGCAGTCAGGCTACTGATCTGCTGGAGAAAGTTTGAATGAGTAACATACGGGGAGCACCTTTATCCTCAAATGGTAGAGCTTAGGACCCAACAGTCATCAACAGCACAGCACCAGTCAAACGTTTGGACACACCTACCCTTCAATGTTCATTTGAACTATTCCCTTCATTTTAGAATAATTATAAAGACACCAAAACTATATGAGAACATATATGAACTGTGTACTGACCAAAAAAGTATTAAACAAAAAAATAGTTGGGACTCTAAAGGTTGCCGGTTCAAATCCTGTGGTTGGCGGAGTGGTCCTACCATTGGGCCTTTGAACGAGACCCTTAACCCCAATCGCTACAGGGACAGGCTGACCCTACTTTCTCCTCTAGGCCAGTTTCATGAGGTGGCCTCCTGGGATGCTTCTCCAGCTGTCCTGAAGGAAACTACCCATATCCACTGTGTTTAGGTCAGGTGGCCAGGTCATGTGATGCCACACCATCACTCTCTTTTGTAGGTGGCTTGGCGTGTCCAAACATTTGACTAGCATTGTATTTGGCACATCCAAGCTACCATTTTCATGCAGACAAAAACAAGCATTTCATTTCTAAAGCCAAAATGTTGTCTGTGTGTGCATGGGGGGGGGGGGGGGGGGGG